ATGTATCTGTCAGGGAGAAGGAATCTAATTTATAGATACATGTATCTGTCAGGGAGAAGGAATCTAATTTATAGATACATGTATCTGTCAGGGAGAAGGAATCTAATTTATAGATACATGTATCTATCTGTCAGGTATCACAAAACTAATATATAGATACATGTATCTGTCAGGGAGTATGACACTAATATATAGATACATGTATCTGTCAGGTATCACAAAACTAATATATAGATACATGTATCTGTCAGGGAGTATGACACTAATATATAGATACATGTATCTGTCAGGTATCACAAAACTAATATATAGATACATGTATCTGTCAGGGAGCATGGCACTAATTTATAGATAAATGTATCTGTCAGGTATCACAAAACTAATCTAGAGATATCCGTCGAGGAGCAGGAAACTAAAATAGGTGAGGCATCGTGGTGGAATCAGGCGCTCGTCAAAATATGGAAATCAAAGAAAACAGCAGTTTTTTCCCTGCTTAGCAATTTTTATCATATTTTGGTTTTTTGGCTCAACAGCTTTTATGTCCATTTACAAACACATTCCTTTGAGTATTTCACAAAAAGAACGTTGATTAAAGGCACAAAAATATAACTTTACAGTTTCCATGGACTCTCCAGCTTTGGAATTTACCAAGCTTTGGCGGACATTTTCTCGCTAATTTTACCTCTTAAGCCAGGTGACCCCCACCTCCTTCAATCCAAAAATATCTCCACTTCTATTGAAGATGGATGGGTAATTTTTTCATTGAAAGCAAGACAAATGAACAAGCTTTAAAATGAAGCCAATAGCTCAACATACCCAAAAATTGACAAGAGCCTGATTTCACCACGATGCCTCACAATTATAGATACATTTCTGTCAGGTATCATTAAACTAATCTAGGGAGCAGGAAACTAAAATATTAATACATTTCATCAGTGTCAAGTACGTGTCGGTGACACGGGGCTTAAGTGGGTGGTCACTGATGGAGCGTGTCCTTGAGCACGACACGACAACCCTAGCTCGAAAAACAGGGTGCTGCACAGTGGTGGTCAGCAGAGGTGTGGTTGTGAAATTGTTCTATATAGGTGTAATATTGTGTATCTATGTTTGTATTTACATATGTATTTATGTATGTATGTATCGATAAATATTATATGTATTTATGTATGTATGCATCTGACAGTCTATCTGCCTAT